TTTACATGTTTATGTATGTGTAATTCTATTTTGAACTCTTCTACTCCAGCCATCTCATAAGCAGCTTTCCACAATCCTGCATGATATCCTTACATATTTTAATCAGTATAAGATATCCTATCAAATTCTTATCCTTTAACTCACTGGCCCATCCCCTCTCCTGTTACTCTTTTGGATTAATTTTCAACCTCTGGTTCACATGAGGTACCCAAGGCATAAATCCTTTCCCAAAGTTAGTAAAGCTTTAAAATCAACAGTACTTTCATAGGATATTTGAAACTTCAATCATGTAGAGTGGGAGAGCTAAGTGAGTAAACCCATGGATTTGAACTTGTGTTTTATGAAGTAATTTAATCGAATTTTTTGTTTTTGAGACAGGGTCTCCCTGTAGACCCAGTTGACCTAGAACTTGCTATGTAGACCAGGCTGGCCTCAAACTCACAGAGATCTTCCAGCCTCTGTCTCCTGTGTGCTGAGATAAAGGCCTGTGCTTCCATGCCCAGCAAATCGAATTATAACTTTTAAAAAGTATTACTTATTATTTTTATTTTATGTGTGTGAGTGTATTGCCTGCATGCATGTAAGTGCACCTGTATTGTGCAATGCCTACAGAGATGAGAAGAAGGTATCAGATCCCTTGGAACTGGAGTTACTTAGATGCCATGTGATTTCTGTAAGCAGTCAGTGCTCCTAATCACCAGGCCATCTCTCCAGCTCTCAAATTGTAATTTTTAAGAACACAGCAGTACCTCAGCTAATCAGTGGTCTGTTACTTGGTCAAATGAGCTATCTAATATTGATTAGTCTGTGGAGCAAGAATCTGCAGTATGTTCCACCTTTTCAGATTTCTGTCAAAATGCCATGGTGGGGGATGCCAGGATACTGAGTCATTAGAAAAGCTGGGTCCCAGGGTAAGCTGCACTAGTGACATTTGATGACACTCTTAGAGAAGATTTTTTTTTTAAAGATTTATTGTGGGCTGGGTGTGGTGGAGCACACCTTTAGTCCCAGCACTCAGAAGGCAGAGGCAGGCGGATATCTATGAGTTCAAGGCCAGCCTGGTCTACATAGTGAGTTCTAGGCTAGCTGGGGCTACAGAGAGATCCTGTCTCAAAAAGACCAAAAAAAATTTATTTATTGTTATTTTATGTGTATGAGTTTTTGCATGGATATGCACCACATGCATGCAGTGTCTGTGGAGGTCAGAAGAGGGCACTGGATCCCCTGGAATTGGAGTTACTGTTAGGGTAACTCCAGGGTCAGTAGTTCCCCAGCTATTGATAAAGGACGGTGCATTCTACCAGGAGGAAACCCCAGAGGTGGGAAAGCACTTTAAAGCTAGGCATGGGGGTGCACTCCTATAATTCCAGTCCCTGGGAGGTGGAAGAAGGAAGATCAGGCGTTCAAGGCTAGCCTTGGCTATAGCAGTTTCCAACCAGCCTAGGTTGCATAAGACTTTTTTTTTTTTTTTTTGGTCTTTTTGAGACAGGGTCT